CTACAAAATAACTATACAGAAACATGGAAGAAAATAAGAAAAGATATGGAAAATTGGAAAAGTCTAAATTTAAGCCTATTGGGAAGAATAGCAACTGTGAAGATGAAGATACTACCAAAAATGGTTTTTTTATTTCAAAATCTGCCAATAATAAGAAATCAAAAATTACTGAAAGAATGGAATAAAGACATAATGAATTTTATATGGCAAAAGAAAAAATCAAGAATAAAATTTAATAATATGATTGAAGAAAGGAAACGAGGCGGCATGGGAGTTCCAGAATTTAAGACATATTTCGAAGCATGCGCTTTAATGTGGGTACGGGAATGGTCAAAATTAGAAAATGAAAAATTACTGAATCTCGAAGGGATAGACTTAAGAGCAGGATGGCACCAGTATTTGTGGTACGAAGGTGTCAAAAAAGAAAAAAAGTTCGGCAACCATTTTATACGCTCGGCTATATATAAAATATGGGAAAAATACAAGAGAAAAATCTGTGAGAAAACTCCACTGTGGATTTCACCGTTAGAAGCCGTACAAAGAAGGGAATTAGGATGGAATGATTGGCCGAAATATAAAGAATTGGTGAAAAAAGAAAAAGGTAAAATAATCCTAAAAACTCAGCAAGAGATGAAAGAGACCAACAGGAAAATTTCATGGTTTCAATTTGGCCAGATAAAAGAAAGCTTCAAAAAAGATGAAAAGATTGGCTTCGAAGAACAAACAACATTCTGGGACAACATAATGCAGACGGGAAAAAAAATAATAACAAAGATATACAAAAAATTAAGAGAGTGGAATAAAGACCCGAGCGAAGAGAAGGATTATATGAAGAGATGGAAAGAAAATATTGGAAGAAATATAAAAATTGAGGAATGGAAGGTAATTTGGACGAAGAAATTAAAGTATACGTATGCAACAGACCTCAAGGAAAATTGGTTGAAAATGGCATTTAGATGGTATATGACACCGCACAAATTAGGCAAATGTTACAGTAATGTCAATACAAGTTGTTGGAAATGTAGAAAAAAGGATGGCACCCTGTTTCACATGTGGTGGACATGTGATAAGGCAAAACTGTACTGGAAAAAAATACATGGAACAATGCAAAAGATGTTAGGAATAAATATCCAATTAAAACCAGAAACATTCCTGTTAGGTATGACATCATCAAAAATGGAAAAAAATTTGGACAAACTACTATTTTTACTAACAACGGCGGCGAGGATGTGTTACGCAAAATTATGGAAAAAAGAAGAAATACCAGCACTAGAAGAATGGCTGCAGAAAGTCTATGACATTAGAAATATGGACAGACTTACATTTTTAATATCTAGAAATAAGGATAACCCGACACAAGAGACAGATTGGGGAAGAGTAACCGCGTATTTAAAGGAGATAAAATATAAAACAATAGTTTAAACAAAAGTAAAGATCCCTAGAAAGAAGGAAAGAGAGAAGACTACGGCAGACGAAAGGAAAGGAGACAGAGAAAAGGAATACACCTTCACCAACTTACTCAGGAAGTCACGAAGACCTGCGTGTTTTTTGTTTTTTTGTTTTTTTTCAACTATTATTCTAACTATTATTCTATTTTTTTGCTTTTTTTTCGCTACAACTTCCCTTCCCCTTTTGGCCTCCCCCCCTTTCCAATTCCCTTTCCTTTCCCTGCACTACTTACCTGGAGTCCTTTTTTTTTCTTTCTTTTCTCTTCCCCTCTTGTCTCTTTTTTTGTTTTAATTATCTCACAGAAAATTCAATAAAACATATTTTTTTAAAAAAAGAATCAATCAGGGCCAGCTAACACCACCTATGCCATCGCGCCTAAGGGCTATAGATCTTAGTGAAAGAAACACGTGGCATCTTTTCCCCAGGGGATTGCTTCTTGCCCTTCTTTAGAGAACTGGAACTCTCAAGGATCAAGACACTATCGATAACTCTAAATAGTCTTTATTGTTCACAATATGGAGCCCCCGGTGGCGCAGAGGGTTAAACCCCTGTGCCGGCAGGACTGAAGACCGACAGGTTGCAGGTTCGAATCCGGGGAGAGGCGGATGAGCTCCCTCTGTCAGCTCCAGCTTCCCAAGCGGAGACATGAGAGAAGCCTTCCACAAGGATGATAAAAACATCAAATCATCCTGGCGTCCCCTGGGCAACATCCTTGCAGACGGCCAATTCTCTCACACCAGAAGCAACTTGCAGTTTCTCAAGTTGCTCCTGACACGACAATAAAATAAATTGTTCACAATGAGTTGTCTTCCATAGGCATAAACTTGATATTCAAAAGGGGTAAAGAAAACATACATTACAATCTCTGGTTGTCTTGGGTCCAAGGAGTTTTGCAGCTGAGAAGCTTTCCATGTTCCCTCTTTCTCAATGGCTGTGAAAGTTGGAAAATTCACAACCCCAGTCCAATGACCTATATTGAAGGCCAAAGTCTTCCTCTTGATGCCAAAGGACTGGTTTGAAGGCGTTTAAGATTCTGCAACGTCGTCCAGGGTGAACTGGATATGAAGAATGAATCTTAAGAGTACAAACTTAAGAATTGGTGAAGAGAGATGACTTGACTGAGGGCTTTAGAGCCAAGCCTTTCTCACGTCCATCTGCTGAATTGTTTGATGGTGGAATGAAAAGAAAGCACTGCCCTCTTCCCCAGGAATTGGTGGAGCCAAACAATTGGGCTGGGGGAGCAATTCAACTGATGCAAAACAACATTGATAGAAAGCAGTAGACAGCCAAACAATTCAACTGTACATTCACATACAAGTGGGGACACGCGCTGTCACACCTCCCAACAAAGGATCCCCCCTCAGGCAGCAACCAGACAGGCTATGAAGCTGCAAGGCCATTAAATGCTAATCAAGGTGGCCAGTTGCAACACTTACACTTGCCTAAAGCAGACAATAGTTTGTTCTCCCACCCTGGACATTTCACAGATTTATACACTTCCAAGTGCCTAGTTTCCAACAGACCTCACAACCTCTGAGGATGCCTGCCATAGATAGGGGCGAAACGCTAGGAGAGAATGCTTCCGGAACATGGCCATACAGCTCTGAAACCTCACAGCAATCCAGTGATTCTGGCCATATTTTAGTTACCAACAAGGACGTTAAGATCGTCCGGGGAGGCCCTGCTCTCGGTCCCGCCGGCATCACAAGTGCGGCTGGCGGGGACGAGAGACAGGGCCTTCTCGGTGGTGGCCCCTCGGCTATGGAATGCACTACCAATGGAGATCAGACAGGCCCCGTCGCTACTGGCGTTTAGGAGGCGGGTGAAGACGTGGCTCTTCGAACAGGCGTTCGGATAAGCGGGTAACTAACATCTGACTCAGAAGACGGCATACTGAACAAGGAATGGTAAATCGACTATGAGATTTGGATCTGATCCTAGTTGAGGCGTGATGACGTTATGTGTATTGTCTGTGAATGTCTGTCACCTGCATTGTTCAATGTTGTATTTTTATTGTAAACCGCTTAGAGTCGCCTTGGCTGATATAGGCGGTATACAAAAGAAGTAAATAAATAAATAAATAAATAAATATTTATCATATCAGAAGCAAACCAAGGGCACAGTTGTGATGTGTTTAGAAACTCTCTGCTTCATTCGGAAAAATGCTGCACTTGCAGAGCTCAGGCAGTGTTGTATTTCAGAGTCAATGTTGACTTTTGTGGGGAGGTGGATGCCAAGGGAGTGGAAATGGTCAACATTTTCTAACGTTACACCATTTGAGAGGGATTGGCTGGTGCTTTTTGCTGGAAGAGCACTTTGGTTTTCTCGATGTTCAATAAGAGCCGAAGTTTTTCATATGCTTCTGCAAAGTGTTTAGTCAGGCTTGTAGGTCTTCTTCTGAATGCGCATAGACTACGTTATCATTGGCATATTAGAGTTCTATAATAGATCATAGAATCAAAGAGTTGAAAGAACCTCCTGGGCCATCCAGTCCAACCCCATTCTGCCAATAAGCAGGAATATTGCATTCAAATCACCCCTGACAGATGGCCATCCAGCCTCTGTTTAAAAGCTTCCAAAGAAGGAGCCTCCACCACACTCCGGGGCAGAGAGTTCCACTGCTGAACGGCTCTCACAGTCAGGAAGTTCTTCCTCATGTTCAGGTGGAATCTCCTCTCCTGTAGTTTGAAGCCATTGTTCTGCATCCTAGTCTCCAAGGAGACTTTGGAGTTTCTTACAGAGGCTGGATGGCCATCTGTCAGGGGTGCTTTGAATGCAATATTCCTGCTTCTTGGCAGAATGGGGTTGGACTAGATGCCCCATGAGGTCTCCTCCAATTCTAGGATTCTAGGATTCCATGACACAGAAAGGGAAAGAGCTGCCTAAGAGGGCCACTGCAATGGAGCACTGCTAAGGAACCCTGAGATTTCCACCTTTCAGACGGGTTTTGCCTTGAGAATAACTCAAGCCAGGCCTGGCTGGGTGTACTAGGCCTAGGATGCTACCAAAGGTGTTGCCATGGTAACAGAGGCAGCCGAACACACAACAGGGAGAGGCGTTCCAAGAGGGGGCGGGGCTAAAGCAAAGCCATACCCCTTCCATGACCACGCCTCCTTAGCAACAGGAGGCGTGGCTTATTCTAAACAGCGCCCCCTGCGTTACAGCGAGAAATGCCAAGATACGGAGGGGGCGTGGTGAAAACTAAGCCACGCCTCCCCTCCCTCAGTGTCGATCTTTCGCCACAGGAGGCGTGGCTTATTCTAAACAGCGCCCCCTGCGATACAGCGAGGCATGCCAAGATACAGCGGGGGGCGTGGTCAAAGCTAAGCCACGCCTCCCTCAGTGTCGGTCTTTCGCCACAGGAGGCGTGGCTTATTATAAACCCCGCCCCCTGCGTTACAGCGAGGCAAGCCAAGATACGGAAGGGGCGTGGTCAAATCTAAGCCACGCCCCTTCACAGGACAGGCCTTCCTTTAGCCGCAGAGGGGGCGTGGCTTGAGGCAAACCACGCCCCTCTCCGTGAGGGCTTTGGAGCCGGCTCCTTCCGGTGACGCCACTTCCGCTTCTGCCACACCTGACGTCAGATCCCGGGCCTGGCGCAGGCGGGGCCGGTTTGAACGGTAAGTGGTGGAGGAAGAAGGCGGCTGCTGCCGAGGAGACAGGCCGGTGAGCCACGCCGGGACCCGCCCTTCTCCTTAGGAGAAATAGGACGGAGACTGTGTTTGAGAGGGAGAATGAGGGAGCTGTGTTTGCATATATGCTAATTGTGCCGCGGGCGTGCCTGGGAACAGCTGAGGGAGGCAAGAGGGCGGCTGAGGGAGAGGGAGGGAGCCGCCGCCCCTCGGGGCTTTCCAGGCCCCGTGGAGAAGCGCGAACCCCCGGGCGCTTCTCCACGGGCCTGGAAAGCCCCGAGGCCGGCGGCGGCTCCCTCGCCGTGACCTGAGTGGCTGGAGTTCCGCCGCCCCTTAAAAGAGTGCCCCAGGTCTTGCTAGCTGCTAGGCCTCATCTCTGCTTGGAGTCTTTTTTCTTCTAGGTCCAATTGAGCCCAGAGTGGGGAGGCTCAAGGTGGTTGTAGTAGAGGAGAAGGAGGAGGAGGGTGTGGTGCATGTGTGTGCCATGCATGCAACTGTTATTAGGGATGGTAATGGTCATATAGTCCTCATTGGCTAGCACTAGTTTTAACCCCTTTATGGTGCTTAATAATGGGTTAAATATATGGATTATATTGTATTATATTAAATATATGTATTATATTGTATTATATTATATTGTATTATATATAAATGTATTATATTAAATGAAATGAATGCCAAATAATATATTATATGGCCCTCATATAATAACTCTCCACCTTTGCTAGAATTAGGGGCACAGGCCTCTTGCAAAAGGAAGAAAGCAATAATATTATTGGTAATGATAATAACAACAACAACAACCCATTGTGAAACTTACTATGGCTCTCACATAATAGCCTTTGCTAGAATTAAGGACACAGGCCTCTTGCAAAAGTGAGATGATGATGATGATGATCATAACAATATCAAGCCATTACTAAACCCACCAGATTAACCCCTCCACATTTGCTACAACTAGAGACACAGGCTTTCTACAAAAGGGACAAACCAATAATAATAATAATTGATAGTAACACAATGCCAATAATAATAACGACAACCCATTATGAAACTTACTATGGCCCTCACATAATAGCCTTTGCTAGAATTAAGGACATAGGCCTCTTGCAAAAGAGAGATGATGCTAATAATAATAATAATATCAAGCCACCAGATTAAGCCCTCCACATTTGCTAGAACTAGGGACACAGGCCTCCTACAAAAGGGACAAACCAATAATAATAATAATAATAATAATTGATAGTAACACGATGCCAATAATAGTCATCCTCATTTGCTAGAACTAGGGACACAGGCTTCCTACAAAAGGGACAAACCAATAATGATAATAATTGATAGTAACACAATGCCAATAACAGTCATCCTCATTTGCTAGAACTAGGGACACAGGCCTCCTGCTAAAGTGAGAAACTAATAATAATAATAATAATAACAACAACAACAACAACTGATAGTCTGCCTCATTTGCTACAATTAGGGGTACAGGCCTCGTGCAAAAGGGAGAAACCATTATTATTATTATTATTAACAACAACAACAACCCATTATGAAACTTGCTATGGCCCTCACATAATAGCCTTTGCTAGAATAAAGGACACAGGCCTCTTGCAAAAGAGAGATGATGCTAATAATTACAATAATAATAATCATAATATCAAGCCATTACTAAACCTACCACATTAAGCCCTCCACATTTGCTAGAACTAGGGATACAGGCCTCCTACAAAAGGGACAAACCAATAATAATAATAATAATAATAATAATTGATAGTAACACGATGCCAATAACAGCTGTCCTCATTTGCTAGAACTAGGAACATAGGCTTCCTTCTAAAGTGAGAAGCCAATATTATATTATAATTATATATTTTATATTGTATGTAATATTACTAATAATATTACAGTGTAATGGTATAGTACAATATAGTAATATATAATACTGATATTGTACTATGCTAATAATATATTGAATGTATATATATCTTGTAAGCCGCTTTGAGTCCCCTTTGGGGTGAGAAGGGCGGCATATAAATGTCATAAATAAATAAATAAATAATATTGATAGTAATAATATCAACAACGACAACCCATTATAGCTATTATGGTCCTCATATAATAGCCTTCGCTAGAATTAAGGACACAGGCCTCTTGCAAAAGTGAGATGATGATGATGATGATAATAATAATAATACCAAGCCATTACTAAACCCACCACTTTAAGCCCTCCACATTTTCTGGAACTAGGGACACAGGCCTCCTACAAAAGGGACAAACGAATAATAATAATCATAGAATCCTAGAATCAAAGAGTTGGAAGAGACCTCCTGGGCCATCATCCAGTCCAACCCCATTCTGCCCAAGAAGCAGGAATATTGCATTCAAAGCACCCCTGGCAGATGGCCATCCAGCCTCTGTTTAAAAGCTTCCAAAGAAGGAGCCTCCACCACACTCCGGGGCAGAGAGTTCCACTGCTGAACGGCTCTCACAGTCAGGAAGTTCTTCCTCATGTTCAAATGAAATCCCCTCTCTTGTAGTTTGAAGCCATTGTTCCGCATCCTAGTCTCCAAGGAAGCAGAAAGGAAGCTTGCTCCCTCCTCCCTGTGGCTTCCTCTCACATATTTATACATGGCTATCATATCCCCTCTCAGCCTTCTCTTATTCAGGCTAAACATGCCCAGCTCCTTAAACCGCTCCTCATAGGGCTTGTTCTCCAGACCCTTGATCATTTTAGGCACCCTCCTCTGGACACATTTCAGCTTGTCAACATCTCCCTTCAATTGTGTTGCCCAGAATTGGAGACAGTATTCCAGGTGTGGTCTCAGTGGAGTAGAGGGGTAGCATTACTTCCCTAGACCTAGACACTATGCTCCTATTCATGCAGGCCAAAATCCCATTGGCTTTTTTTGCCGCCACATCACATTGTTGGCTCATGTTTAACTTCTTGTCCACGAGGACTCCAAGATCTTTTCCCCACATCCTGCTCTCGAGCCAGGCATTGTCCCCCATTCTGTATCTTTGCATTTCGTTTTTCCTGCCAAAGTGGAGTATCTTGCATTTGTCCCTGTTGAACTTCATTTTGTTAGTTTTGGCCCCTCTCTCTAATCTGTCAATTGACAGTAACACAATGCCAATAATAGTTGTCCTCATTTGCTAGAACTACGGAAACAGGCCTCCTGCTAAAGTGAGAAACTAACAATAACAATAATAATAATAATAATAATAATAACTGATAGTCTGCCTCATTTGCTAGAGTTAGGGGCACAGGCCTCTTGCAAAAATGAGAAACCAATAATAATACTCATAATAATATGTGATAGTAACATGATGCCAAGAATAGTCCGCCTCATTTGCTAGAACTAGGAACATAGGCCTCCTGCTAAAGTGAGAAACCAATATTATATTATAATTATATATTTTATATAACATATAATATTACAGTGTAATGGTATAGTACAATATAGTAATATATAATACTGATACTGTACTATGCTAATATTATAATATATTGTATGTATATATATCTTGTAAGCCGGTCTGAGTCCCTTCGAGGTGAGAAGGGTGGCATATAAATGTTGTAAATAAATAAATGATATTGATAGTAATAATATCAGCAACAGCAACCCATTTTGAAACTTCATTATGGTTCTCACATAATAGCCTTTGCTAGAATTAAGGACACAGGCCTCTAAGCAAAAGTGAGATGATGCTAATAATAATAATAATATCAAATAATATTACTAAACCCACCACATTAAACCCCCCACATTTTCTAGAACTAGGGACACAGGTCTCCTACAAAAGGGACATACCAATAATAATAATTATTATTATTCTTATTATTCTTATTATTATTGGTAGTAACACAGTGCCAATAATAGTACTCCTCATTTGCTAGAGTTGGGGGCACAGGCCTCCTGAAAAAGTGAGAAACCAATAATAATAATAGATAGATAGTAACACAATGACATTAAAGCACTGAGCTGCTGAGCTTGTTGATCGAAAGGTCTCAGGTTCGATTCCGGGGAGCAGCGTGAGCTTCCGCTGTCAGCCCTAGCTTCTGCCAACCTAGCAGTTCGAAAACATGCAAATGTGAGTAGATCAATAGGTACCGCTGCGGCGGGAAGGTAACAGCGCTCCATGCAGTCATGCCGGCCACATGACCTTGGAGGTGTCTACGGACAACGCTGGCTCTTCGGCTTAGAAATGGAGATGAGCACCAGACCCCAGAGTCAGACATGACTGGACTTAATGTCAGGGGACTACCTGTACCTGTAACACAATGACAATCCTACATTCCTCCCGCCACATCAGCACTTTTAACCCTGTACCCCTACTCTGGCCGGCCCAGTTTTAATATTGTCTTGTTGTATTGTTACTGTTATTGTTTTTCTGCTTAACTGTTTTTAATTTGCTTTAGGTATTGTATTGTTGTATTGTGTTTGGGGCTTCAGCCTGTGTAAGCCGCATCGAATCCTTCGGGAGATGCTAGCGGGGTACAAATAAAGTTATTATAATAATAATAATAATAATAATAATAGTGCTCCACCTTTGCTAGAATTAGGGACACAAGCTTGCAAAAGTGAGATGATGATAAAAATAGCAACCTGTTAAATCCATTTTTAAACTCTTTATGGCTCTCACATAATAGCCCTCCACCTTTGCTAGAATTAGGGCACAGGCCTCCTGCAAATGTGAGAAATGATTATTATGATGATTATTATTAGATAGTTACATGCTAATAATAGTCCTCATTTGCTAGAACTAGTGACACAAGCCTCCTGCAAAAGTGAGAAACCAATAATATAAATAGTAGTAATAACAACAACCACCATTATGAAATTTATTATGGCCGTCACATAATAACCCTCCACCTTTGTTCAAAGTAAGGATGCAGGCCTCTTGCAAAAGTGAGATGATGATGATGATGATGATGATAATAATAATAATAATAATAATAATAATAATAATAATAATAATAAGCTATTATTAAACCCATTATGCCCCTCATTTAATAGCCCGCCACATTTGCTA